GCTTTCTTTGTATGTCGAAGCAGGACGACGTCCGGGACTTTCGGCATCGCTACAATCGCGGATCGTGTTTCGAAATCTCCTGTCCGATATCGCCAACCGCTAGCTGACTCCTCCGTTTTCCTCCCCGCCAATCTACACCCCGCTCTTGGACGAATACAGATACTGTCTATGCGCATGCAAGCTAAAGATTTTAAACTCAGCTGTTAAGCACCCCAACTACAGCCTCAAGCAGCTCCTCAACCCAAAAAAGGTTATGAAATACATCGCAACCCGGACCCGAACCCCAATCGTATATATAAATGAACATTAGTTAATTTGCATACATGAATTTTTCGACAAACGACCGCTCGAGCAATACTTCTACTTTTTAGTGATCTGGAAATTTGCATTTGTCATTTCTTCACAAGGCGAGTATTTACCGAAAAAACGACCGGACTTCACGCAAAAAACCGGTAATCATGCACCTGGATGTCCGTGCGGCTCTATAATGCACCACTTTCAATCTCAACTGACGCCCTTCCTCCTACATGCCGGAAGGGATCAAAGCACGGCCAATATGAGTCCAAGCGTTAGGTTACAGCGTAGGGATCATTCCTGCTAATAGCGGTCTGCGAGTTTAGTGCAAAAACGCATGATCGCACCGGAGAGCTTGGGGCGTTCCAGCCTGGATTTGTCGTTTATTAGCCTTTGCATTGCGTGACCGCCTTTATGTGGTTTAAATTTATTGCAGCCCTAGGTTAGAAATTGTATGCTTTTCAACCGGAGGAGAAAGGGAGGGAAGAGACAAAAGAGCAGGAGGTGTAAAAAAAAGAAACCCGCCAAAAGAACTTAGTGGATTTTCTTGATAATGCACAAAATTTCAAAATATTGTTTAACAAAAAATGCAATAGAATGAGACATTTTTTTTGACGGTCAGCTGAAACAACTAATCGAGCTAGATTTTTACCAAAAAGTGGAGGCCACCGGCTCTCCTCACTATACAACCACCTTCACGGAAGTCACTGTAATTTGTCCAAATCGAAATTCTACTTACTGTTAAGCGAAAATGATTTTTGAGCTGTTGGTGTGCGGAAGCAGTGAAGTGTTGCGGTGAAGGCTTCGGTAGACGTGCTTCCTCATCCAGAAGATCTAGTAAACCTTCCACTTTCCTTTCAAATAAATCTGCAGATTTACAAGACATTTTAATTAGTGGCTATGGAAAAAGTGCACCAAATTTTTACGTTAACTGATGCAGGCACAAGGAGCAGTTCGAGCTTTTTCGGGTATTAATTCGGAGCAAAAATGTATCCGTGGCTGACAGCCAATATCAGTTCCATTATGCACTTTTTTCTGAATTAGAGGCGCCAGCACAGTTAAAATGGAGAGAGTAAGTAGAAAAAGATGGGAATGTTTTTTCCTGGGAAGTATGGTACAAATAGCTACTCCCTCTACAAAGATCAGAAATAAGCCCCACTTATTACATCTTGTGTTTATTATGCTGTTAACAGTGTTATTATGGAAGCACTCATCATCGAAAAAGTGCATGCAAGCTGTGCAATTCCAAAAACCGGTGCGGTATTCCCAATTCTCCATCAGGAAAGCACCCCAGCCTTTGAATTCTTAGCTATACAGTAATGAAATGTGTTTCAGCATGCCGACTTAGCCAGCTTGTCGTGTCAGTACGAATGCACAGTACCACATACCTCGCAAATTCTAAACCACACCTCGAATCCCAAGGGCCTTAAACTGTGTAGGCGTGGCAACGACAAAATTTGTTTACGCATTCTCATATGTCCGTGCATGACCGCTGCTTTTGAAGTTTTTTGCTCATACATGGAAAGAACATCCATTTGAAGCTTCTACTCCCTACCTTGTCTGATTTCCGAAAAATGGAGAGAAAACTCACCAATGCAGTCCTCGTTGTCACTGTATTGGATGCGGGGGACATTGAGGCCCTCGTTGGCGTACAGCTGCTGCTCGTGCTTCAGTATTCGATCGTTGAAAAAATTTTGCAATTTCTCGTTGCAATAATTTATACAGAACTGTTCAAACGAATTCACCGTGAAAAATTCTGAAAAGCAAATCACACTTTAAACATAACACATGAAGGACCTGCTAACTAACGGTACGGGCGTCCAACAGGTTCGCATAAAAGTGATAAATGCAGACGTGAAGCGTAAACATTTCAGTGCTGGTTTGGCAAATTCTGAAATTTCAGCAGTGGCATTAACTCAATGCAGCCCACTGACCCACCCAAAAATCACACGTCTTATTTTTGTGCACTACCTACACTGTCGAGTCTCGAAAAAAACTGGTTCCGGTCTAATTTATAGAAATCGTCTATTCACGTTTGCAAGGACCGTTAACTGTTTCAATGTCTAGTTTCAGATATAATTAGCATCAGAATCCCTCCTCAGTTTTGAGAATTATTAGGTTATTTAACGAACTTGTCAGTGATGCCTTTCATTTAATAGCTTAAATCTGAATTTCTGAGGCAGCACGCCCGATAGCCAGACGAGCCCTTTTCCTCTTTTTCCAGCTAAACTAGAGGAACCGGGACCGAGTTTTTTGTCTTTCAGTGCCATTTAGTACTAGCCAGCTGAAATTAACTTACTTAATTGAACTAAACATAAAGAGTTGTCCCTTCTTTTTCCTCATTCTGTCTTACATTGCGTATTATGCCTTACTTCTGGCGTATCGTTGGAAAACTCGCTACCGTTAAAAAACCACAACTTAGAGATTTTAAACTGCGCAATCGACGCTCTTGCAAGTGTGAGCTTTAAGGCAGACACATTATTTGGGATCACAGCTGTCGCATTAACAAAGCCCAGTTATGGCGCTTAATGGGGAACATTCGCGACTTAATGGACCGAACATTGCTACTCAGCTGATTATTTTCTCTTTACTACTTTGTATGATATTTCCATATACAGTCTTTGAAATACCACAACTTAATATTTCTTTATTGTTTATTAATAAAATGAAAGTGCTTACCAAACCCGGCAATATCCAGAACGCCGATGTAAGACACGCT